ACTATTATATCGGCAAGGTAAAAGATGATTTGCATATAAATAAGAACTGGTGTTCTGGTCTAAGTCTTTCCGAATTGACCCGTTCGGAAAATCCCGAAGGGTGATTTTCCTAGCATTCATACCCCCTAGAAATTAAAGATTTTTAAACTTTGAACGAAGATATCTCGACCAAATTCGATGAAAATTTTTTGTTCGAATTCTATAAATTCATAGAATTCAAACAAAAAAATTTTCATTGAATTTGGTTAGGCGGTTGTCGAGATATCTTCAAAACATCTTTTAATTAAAACTAATAAAGTTCTAGTTATAGCATTATTACAAAAAATTGCTAAATTAATTTTTTATGTTTTATGATATTATTATAATTAAAAAAATTATCATTAAGATATAAAAAGATGAATTTATTTAAGATTAACCAGAGGTGAAATTCACCCATATATATTTCTGTTTAATTATTTCTTAATAAACAACTCGTTTTTTCTTTAGGGTTAGGGCGAGGTCTATATTAGGGTTAGAGTTATTATATATAAAATTAAGCGTTAAAAACTTTTACTTAGTGACATGATGCAAGTTTTCATAATAAAATTTTAAGATATTACTGTTTTTTTTTTCTTTAAAATTTCCTGTGATTTTATTGATTAATCATATAACCGGTGAATTTCACCTCTGGTGAGCGTTAAAATCGTCCTAAAAAGATACTAATTAAAAAATTTTCAAATTTACTATAGAAGTTAAATTTAGTAATTATGCTATAGTTTGTTTGTACAAAAGAATAAACTAATAGATAAAATTTTGATTTATTTTAAATAATTATTTAAATATAACTTGCTATAACAGTTTATAACTTGCAAACATAACAGATAACTTTGCAAAATTTATATACTTAATAACTAGTATTGTCTTATCATTTTGTAATCTACTTTTATTTTCTGCTCAATGGTATTATTTGAGGAAAAAAAAAAAATGCTATATAAAATATCATAATAAATTAAGAACTCTTTTAATCAATATGAATGGTCACTATAAATTTTCTAATTTAAACTGGTTGTTTATTATTATATTACAAATATATAATATCTAGAACAATATATTATTAAATACAATGAATGGTTTTAAGCATATATTAAACAATAAACAAAAAAAAAAAAAAAAAGATACACACATCATTAAATATATTCTTGCCATGATCTATGTATATTATATAATTTTCGTGAGTAATTACAAATTTCGTTTACTATGTCATTTCTATCACTTCTTGCTTGGAATATTTATGTCGAAAACGCCATGCATTCATAGATGAATTGAAGTTGGTTAAATAATTTTTAAACGCTACAGTCGTAATAATAACGAATTTTAATTAGAAATCATATATAAATATAATTCCAGTATATAGTGATAATTGAAATTTCAAATACCTTCGGTAGTAAAAGAATCTTTGCATTTTACTCTTATATACCAAAATGGTACACCAGCAAGAATAAATCCAAATGCGGAAAGTGATTCTAAAGGTACTCTTGTAAATGGCATAACAACCAAAAATATAGCAACACAACAAAATATAGCGGGAGTAATAAGCCACACTCGATACGGCCTGAAGTATATGTGCATAATAATATTAGGATTTGTGAAATGTATAAAATTTGGGAAATTCTAATGCATTAATATTTACCTTTCTAAGTTAGGTTCTCTCCATCTTAAAATAAAAAGCCCGAATGACGTAAGGAAATAAAATACCCAACCCGCCACAGAAACAAAATTCAATAGACCAGTGAAACTACCCGGAATAATCATTATAATCGTTAATGTGGCCTGCATAATTAATGCTGCTGTTGGGGTATTCCATTTATCATGCACTTTACCGAATAAAGTAGGCAAATATCCTTCGCGACCGGCGACATATATTAACCTTGAACCTGTAAATATACCACCATTCGCAGCTCCAAAGCAACTAGCTGCCACACAGAGAGCGAAAAGGATGCCACCTATAGGTCCAAACATTTTTCGGCCAAAATCCTAAATAAAATTTAAATAAATTAAATATAATTTATTACTCTCTTTTTTTTTTCAAATATAATAATGTTATATATATATATACAATCACGTACCAGAGCTATCGTATTTGTCTCTTTAACTATGTTTGACGGTAGAACAGCGTAATACGCGACATTTGCCAATAAATAAAAAATTATTACAATTGGTAAACCGAGCATGATTATTCGTGGGAGATCTCGTGAAGGATTTTTCATTTCTCCAGCAATAACGTTTACTGTGTTCCTGAACGATAAACCCATTGGATTTCACATTAACGCAGGATAAACAAATTATATTTAGAGAATATCAGTGATTCTAATTGAAAGTCCTCCGAAACGGGATAAAAGGACCGATTTGACTAATTTCATAATCAAATTAATCAAATTTTGGATTATATATATTTTTTTTTTCAAATAAAAAAATATTTGCAGATTATTACCATCCATCATATGCCCATAGTCCTAAATTTTGATTTTTAAAAAAAAATATATATATATATACGTTATTATTGTTATTAATGATGTTAAACGTTGAATCTTGAAATATACAAACCTGAATAGAATGCTAAGGCATAGTCACTCATCCGGCTCGAACTTCCAGCAAATAAGTCACCATCAAAATTTTTTGTCATCCCTCCTCGACCCAAAACAACAAAACCGATAATTGCTATAATTATCAAAGTAATCAACTTTAAAGCGGTAAAAAGATCTTGTGTTCTTGTTGCTAGGCGAACACTATATGCATTTATTAAAGAAATCACAATAACACAGATTATTGCTACAATTTTATTTAGAATAGCATGTGTTGAAGAGGAAGGGTGATCCTCTTCATTCTCAAAGGCTGTATGATATATAATACGATTCAAATATTCAGCAAATATCACTGCTATAATCGCAGTACCTCCTGGCTAACAATTAAAAAACAATGTGTTTATATTACATCAAAATATTATTACAAAAAAAAAAAAATAATAATACTGTAATAAAAAATAACAATACCCTTAAGCATGTAATAGCAGTCCAGCTGAACAAAAAGGCGGGAAGACTTCCGTATGCATGCGATAAATAAGCGTGTTCACCACCAGATATTGGTATCTCAGATCCTAATTCAGCATATGTGAGTGCACCTGTACACGCCAATAATCCACACATAAGCCATACTATCAATGACATTCCTACAGATCCTGCGTGTACTACAACTGGACCCGGAGAAGCAAAAATACCAGAGCCAATTATTGTACCGATTACTAGATTAAGTCCATTATAAAAAGTAACTTCTTTTTCCAAATTAATGGGATGTCTTCGTGTCTCTGTCAATGTTAATGGTATAAGATGATCGTCGAAATCGAAACCATCGCTTTGACGTTCGTTATTATGAATAAACGTTTGTAAGTCCTCCCCCTCTTGATCGCTTGAATTATCAAGCTCGAAAGAATCTGGACGATCATAGTTAATATCTTGTTCTTTCAAGGAATCGAATAAGATCGTACTTTGTATATCACTATGAGGGACTGACATATTTTAAAGGAAAGTTAATATATAATATGTATATGTAATTGAGTTGGTAAGGTTTTTGTGTGTTATTAACAATAAGTTAAGTGTTCTTTTATATATCTTTATACAATGATTGGTTACTAGAATTATGTGTACACAAACAATCATACGTAGAGATCTAAAAAGTACCTTGACGATCAGTGACTAAGCTCAGGAAGGTCGGATATTTGATATGCACCGGATTCGTAACTTCAGTTTTTTTACTAGAAAAATAATTTTTTTTTTAAAAAGCTAACGTTATTTTTTTTTTTTTTTTTACAAAACTTTTTAAATTTATTATCGTTATGTCTTATTTTCATATTAAATTAGTTATATTTTATTCGCGTAAATTAATTCGTTACTTTAATACAACTATAAAATACAATACATGTTCAAAATTATATATATCTAGAATTTAGATGAAAAGTTCAAAATTTCGAAAGATAATTAATCGCGAATAGATTTAAAAAATAAACATTCTAATAGTACATATTTTATTTATTTTAAGTGTAAAAAAAATATATATTACATAAAAATTACATTATAATGATGCGTATTCGTCATAATATATTATGTCCAGACCACACCACGTGGAGGTTCGCATCGAGTGGTCCTTTTTTAAAGTATATCGTGTGACTTTCGTTTAAACTACTTTTTCTTTCGTTAAAACTACTTGTGTACGTGCAGTGACCCAAAAAAGAGTATATTGTGTGGCTTTCGCGCACGTGCATTGACCCAAAAAATGATAACATCAAAAGACAAGTTGCACGTGCATTGACTCTGAAATGGTGTCTAACTTCTAATAATATTCGAATTTCAGTAGTTTTTCGCCTACTAAGGAAGAATCATATCCGTCTCTTGAAAAAACAGAAGACCTTAAGTAGGGGTGGTTTCGAAAAATTCGCCGAAATTCTCATACTTTCAAAGTTATACCAAATCTTAACCTCAGTCGCGGCTAGAGTATATCGTGGCGGGGTCTTTTCGATATTACTGATGCTTTTAGTTGTAGTTTGACGACGATCAAACTATTATCTAGATCACACCACGAGGAGGTAAGCATCGCGTGACCCATAATCGACAGATTTCAAATATCTTCCTTTTCACTAACGATATTATTCTGGATTTCTTTTTCATCGCTTATATAGTTTTATCTATCAAAAAGTTTTATAAGATAAAAAAAAATATATATTCGTTTAGAAAAAAAATTCTGATAAAGCGAAATATTCAAAATAATAAAATTTTTTATTGAATTGTTAGAGATAAAAATGAGTAAGTTGGGTAGAGTTGAAGTTGAAGTTTGAATTTAAAGTTGAAAAAAAAAATTCTGCTATTTTAAATTAATGATTTGTTTTTTTGTTTTTACGTGATTACAGTATTTTCTAGTATGATAGAAATTGGTTTTAATTGGCTAATCTTTGTGATCTACACGTAGACATTACACCAAACACAAAATTATGCTATATGATAAATTGACCAATAAAAATATCAAATCGTTATCATATGATTAATATAGAAATTCTTTTGAAAAATTAGCTAAGCATTTTTAATTAAATGAAAGCATATTGGCTTTATTTATAATTTATTAGAAAAGCTATGTATCAGAATATAAGCTTTAAGAATTACAAAACAGTAATAATGATATATGGTAAACTACTTAAATAAGGTTTTTAAATCAGAAAAATTCATTTCACTTCAAGAAAATATATCAACTAAAATAATTTACAAATGAAAAATAAAAATTTGAAATCATGTTATCAAATGAGAAATTACTCAATTTTAAAAACTAGTCCAATATAAAAAAATATTTTATATATAAATTATTATATTTTTTATGAATCAATTGAATATTACTAGGCAGCTCTTCGTATATTTAGTTAAAATATTTTTATATTTTGTAGTATTAATTAGAATAGTACAAATTATTTTAAGTAATAACATATAATAAAAAAAAATTGTTTTTAGTAAAATAAACCTGCTTTTTTCAAAGAATCAAAATTTTAAAATTTAAAAAAAATTATTTTAAAAAAATTTTTTACAAATGACTAAAAAAAATCTTGGCTCTTGTTTTGTTCGTAATTGCTAGATTAGACCAAATTAATATTATAAAATCACAGAATATGTTCTAAGAAAAGCAAAAAAAAAAAGTACTTTTAATAGATATAACTATTTAGAAGTTAAAAAGCATTATGCTATTCTCATTATCTTGAAATTGTTGAACCTAACTGCTATAATAAATCATCAACTAATAATAATAGGCAAGATCATATAATTATTAGAAAACTATTATCATTTTAAAAAAAAATTACTTTAATGACTAAAGTGTTATATGAAAAACAAAGAAAAAAAAATAATATACTAGAATTAAACTCAGATTATTTTCAGACAATACTTGAAAATGCTAAACTACAATTTGTAGAATTTTTTGATAAACTTTACAATATATTTATTCTTAAAAAATAGTTAGCTTATAATAGAAAAAAAGATAAAAAAAAATGATCAATATATGTTACTTAATTGTAATGATATGTAATAGACTTGTAAATAACTATTCTTTAGAAATCAGATTATATTTAGTAGCATCAGATACTTCTTGTAATACAATTAATACAATATATAAGGGAAGTGCTATTTATTATATAATTTTGGGTAGGGAGGAGAGGGAGTTAGCAGTCTATCATGTCTAAAATATTATATATAAAAATTGATTGGCTGCTAGTTAGATCACTCAGGAAAGAAAGAGTCTGGTCTTCTAATAAAAAGAAATTATATAATAAATAGCACTTCTCTAATATAGGTATTACTATTTATTATAAGACTATTAGTAATTATGGAAAAAAGTTGTAAACACAATTTAGTAACTCTTTTCAAAGATCACTTGTACCAAAACTTCTTGTAAATATTTTATTATTACTCAAAATTCTATTAAGTAAACTACTCTTGAGCTACTAAGTAAAGTTATTTACAACAAAATTTTACTTCAGAGTAGCCTAGTTTTATCTCTTCTAGACCTCTTTTGGTGATATATTAAATATTCTTTATTTTTTTAGTTTTCTCATAATATCTTAAAATTTTACTAAGTAAAAAACTTCTAGACTTCTAAGTAAAGTTGTCAGGCATAAAATTTTACCCCTAGTGGTTCAGTTTTACATATCTTAGATTAAATTCTATAGAGATATTATTTATTTCCAGTTTACTTATATTTTCTTAAATATTTCAAAATATTACTAATATAACAACTCTTG